CAGAGATTGTCTGTGTCAGAGAGAGGATGGGATCTGACCAAAAGCATTTGATTGAAATGGGAACTTAATACATACGGTTTCTAGGAAGATAAAGTCGTGTTTCAAGTCCTGCAGTTCTTGCACTCCCCTTTAATCATGGTTTCTCAAGCACATTGAGCAAAATGCTACTATCACATCAGTATATCTGTAGTGACTTTGATCATATTTCTTCAGTGTAGTCATTTTCCAATTGACTGTGTGCATGCATCCCTTATAATTTCAAGTTATCATAAAAACCTCACAGGCACAATTAGCTGGGAAGAGGACCCTGTGGTGCCTTGCACCTTGCACAGTCATTTAGATGGGCTGCCTAAGAGCTTTCTCACAATGTATCTTTTCTTCAGAAAATGATAGCTTGTCCAGCATGGACGCCTTTTTAGTTGTATTCCAGTTTGACTCATTAGTGAGCTTGAGGCAGGGCGCAGGGGTGTGCTGACATATCCTACTCTGACATTTTTCAAATGAGATTTTATTGCTGGCTTGAAATGCTTTACTGTTTCTGAAAATTATTATCCCATACTAAAAATGGGGGGCTGAAAAAGTTGAAAGCAGAATAAAACAGTTTGAAATTGTAGAAACAAAATCAGGTCAACAAGATTCAAAATTTTTCTAGGGAGTTGCCATTTTGATGGTTTTATTCTTTTAGAAACCCCAAATCCATTTATAAGTACCCATTCCCTATCCTGTGTTGATGGCTGAGGGAGAAGGATATGAAATGCAACTCATAATGTACTGCTCAAAAATCCTGTCAGTCCCATTCTCTGCATGAAGCACTTTGACTTTACAAATATTCTTAGGTATAGTCTTTCCCAACACAAGAGAGTGTATGCATTGAGTTTCCTGAAAAAGGATCATGTCTGAGGCATTTTTATCACAGATTATTCTGTTTAGCAAGTAGGATCATGGAGATAAATAGGATCAAGAAGGGCCACAAACATGTGGCATGTCAGTCTTCCTGAAAGGAAATTTAAGGTGGAAGACAGTTACAAGTCTTATGTACTGAAAATGAGATCTGAGAGGCCTATTTTATAATTACAGTAACAAGAAAAGCTAGTTAATAACTTAATATAGTGATTTAGTTCTATGATATTTATACAGGAATGTTTATAAGAAAGTGTAAGATGTCAGGAACTCTTTCCTTGGAAGTGCAAGGTAAGAATCTACTGTATTCCTTTCACCTGACAGAATTTTTGCACAAAGGACTTGGATACCTCCATTGCTCAAGCTGAAGTGCTAGATCCAAGGGTGAGGGAATCGATTTTGCTCCCTGAAATACAGCTGACTTGGAATTTGCATGGCAAACCTAGGCATCCAATAACCTAGAGGCACCCTAGGCCATCACTACCAGATGCAGCTTCAGAAAAATATGTATCTCCTGCAAATCCTGTGCTATAGGGGATTATCTCAGATACCTTAAGGCATCTCAAATAGCTCTAAATATCAGTATGGAGGGCCAACTAAATTAAGTTCACACTGCTTTTCCTGAACATTACCAGGAAATAAAAGTCTTCAAAGACATCCCAAGATGGTTAGGCTGGACCTCAAATCCTGTGTTCAAGATTTGGACCCTCACTCCAAGAAGCAGTGCTGAGATGCTGGAGTATGTCCAGAGAAGGGCAATGGAACTGCTGAAGGGTCTGGAGCACAAGTCTTTTGAGGAACAGCTAAAGGGAGCTGAGTTGGGGTTGTTTAGCCTGGAGAAAATGAGCTTCAGGGAGGATCTTATCTGGCTGCCTGAAAACCAGATGAGGGGCAGTTGGGCTCGGTCCCTTCTGCCAGGTAAAAAACAATAGGACAAGAGAAAATGGTCTCAAGTTGCACCAGAGGAGATTTAGATCGGATATTAGGAAAAAATTCTACATGGGAAGGGTTGTCAAGCGCTGGAACAGGCTGGCTGAGTCACCATCCCAGGAGATATTTGAAGAACGTGTAGATGTGGCACTGAGGGACATGGTTTGGTGTTGGACTTGGCAGTGCTGGGTTAACAATTGGTCTCGGTGACCTTAGAGGTCTTTTCAGCTCTTTGTGATTCTATGCCTCTATGGGCATACAAAACAGAGGCACACCAAAGCAGAGGCACTCAGAATCACTACAGTCCAATTGAAAATCTTAGTGCTTACACAGATTCAACTGTCAACACTATATGTTTCTCACTGTCAGGATTAAGAGCTGCTAGGACGATAACAAGGAAGTGCATGAACAAGAGAGATGTCATGGTTAGAGAAAGAAAGCTTGATGACGACAGCATAACCACAGAGGAGTTTTATGTCTTGCCCAGTGGTAGCTTGGCACTTAGTTGTTTTCTTTAGCAGCAGCAATATGGTTTAGCAGCTCATCAGAGAAAGCACACAAGAGCTAGACAGCATGATCGAAAAAAACAAAAACCCAGGGGAGTATTTTTTGAACCTCAGTTTCTTCTGCCTTGTCACCTACATAACCGCAGCACATTTTTGCATCTTTTTTGCATGTTCCCAGGAGAGCAGCTGCTTTACTTTAGTGTAAGCATACTTATTTTCCTGGTACTTTTGTCTTCTCCATGCCCACCTCTCTTCTCTTTTAGATCTACATCCATCCCATGTATTATCAATGTACCAACTTCTGTCAACTGCTTCTAACAGACAGTCTACAACAAATCTTCATCTTGTATCATCTCTCAGACTGACTTTTGGGTCGTTTGGACATTTCTGATGCTTTTGTCTTCTCTTCTATTTTTGCAAGTTTTAAAGGTGAGAAGTTTTTATCAAACAGATGCCTCACAGTGTATTCTAATATCTCCACAGTTGTACAGTTATTACGTTTGTTAACTTCAAATAGGCTTATAAAATATTGCAAGTTAATATGGGGCTTCTTGTTGTGATTTGCTTCTCTTCTATGTGACATCCACACAATTTCAAGGAAGTCAGTGGGATTCCAGGACATGGGAGAGATGTATCTTGGGATGTATCCCATCACCAGTGTAAAAAAACTGTTTTCAGAGTCTGACTGATTCCTTCAAGGTGGTATCAGGTATGTTTTCAGGTTTGGATGGATGCACGTGCTTATACTCACAGCCACCCAGTATCCATTGTGTCCCTTGGTGGGATCCTGATATGCAGAATAAATTTCTTACAGAGTCACCTAATCTGCACATAACCTATAACAATTGTCTGTTTTGACACGAAAAAGCAAACTTGGATGCAAGTAATTTTGACCAATTCTGAAAATATGTTCTACTATTGCACTAGATTTTGAAGCCTACTTGTTGTGCCTCTGTGGCTGCTGTCAAGACAGACAGTAGATTTGTTAGGTGCTCAGCCAAATAATTGGTGATTCCCTATAGGCAACAACTCACCAAGTGCTGCAGAACTTCTGTACTGATTCTACAAAGCCATCTTCTCTGGAGGGTCATATACTGGAGCATGGATGGCCCAGGGAGCGTAGCAGTGTATGAATGTATGGGTTAGTGCAAGGCTACTCCAAAATAAGACAAAGACCTAGATGGTGCTTTTGCTAACTATGGTTACAGAGACTACAACATATACCCCAATGCTCCCATGGCAAACGTAGTTCACCCACAGTCCTTTGTTATAATCCTGGTTAGTAGATACAGCATTTTGTCACTACCTCTGCTATTCTGGGGAGGAATTTCAGAGCCAAGTTTCCTAGTACTCAAGTCAAAGATACACAAAGTCTGATAAACTGCATCACTCACATGCCCATTTTTGCATCCTATGCTGAACTTAGTTGCAGAGAAGTAGCTGATCAACTGTATGAAACTAATAGCACTTTATAATCAAAGGAACTGTTTATTTTTACCCAGAGTACAGGGGAACTAAAAAAATACCTCAGAAATTATTTTAAAGGAGGCGCTGTTATCATTTATACAGTGTGAAGACCCACAAGGGACTAACGGAGACAAGGTGTATAATGCCAAATATTTAGTCAATTCGGTGGATGCAACAACCTGTCATGAGCCTTTATCTCCATGTGTATGGGCAATCTGTGTCTGTATACTTCAACAGTGTCCTATCTTTAGCTGTCAATATAGAACAATATTGATGATACTCTCTGAATAACTTTGAGCTGCAAAAAAAGTACCATATTGGGAATTTATATTTTTTTATTTCTAATATTCATGGATTATTTGTCTGAATTCATATTAGTACCTATTTTTTTCTTTAATTTTGTCCATCTTCACTTCATCTTGCAGTAGTTGTTATCAAAATTTTCTGTTATGCTACCTCAAATAAGTAGAATTTTTTTATTCCATCTCTTTAAGGAACTCTGCTTTTCATTTTCACACTAAAACTTAGCATTAGAATTAACAAAAGGTTTTAGTTTTCCAAGATGTGGCACTTACTGTCTCAGTCCACTGGTGCACTCGAACTAGAATTTAAGTAGATATCTCTTAGCAGTGTTGTTAATATTACATCTTAATAAATTCTAGGGGAAATTTAGAGAACTGTAGAATAATTTGGAAAACCATTTGTGGTTTAGCTTATGAGAAATCACACCTGTTGGCATAAAGCCTGCTATCTAAATTCCATACTGAAGGTGGAAACTAAATATGAGCTAAATCTGTATTACATTTTTAAAGTATATTTTCTTACTTTTTGTGGTCTCTGCAAACCCTGTGACTCCATTTCTTATTTATGATTGAATGTTGCTTGTGATCATGAATATCATACAGATATTAAACCTAAACTAATTGGAAAAAAAAAAGTCTCTAAAGAAATCACTTTCACCATGTCTAACCAGAGATTTTCAGCTAGATCATCATAAAGTCGTTTCCCTGACCTTAAAGAAGCTATGCCAGTTGATACATTCTAAGGACTAAGGATTATATTATGGAGAGGTTTTACCCCATCCATCTTTGATAAACACTAACCATTTTAGAACTGACCCATAAGTTATATTTCAAGCCTCTAGTCATTTAATTTACCCTTTCTCCACCCCCACCCCCCTTTAACTGTTTCCTTTAGCACTCCAACTATCCCTGGATACACTGGCAAGGTTCATTGATCAGCAACTCACCCGGGAAATTCTAATCTTCCATCAACAACCCCATCAGTAATTGCACGAATGCATGGGTAGGTATGAGGTATATTTCTCAGCTTGTTCAAAAAGATTACAGGAAAATCATAATTGTATTTATTTAGTTAAAGAACAATTAAATGTTAAGTATGAAATTCTATCGGTTTAAAAAATACAGAACAGTTGGGATTGGATCCCACCATATTATTGTGATGCTAATCTGAAATCCTTTTGAAGTTTTAGAATTTTTCTGGATCATAAGTATGCGTTAGGAAGGTGACTTTTTTGGTTTTATATATAACTAATCTCTGTGTTTTCGAAGAGGGTAATGAATGTCAAAGTCCCAAAAGAAAACTGTGAAGTTTCTAAACTGGTGTTGGCAGACTTATGAAATGGGTATTTTCTATACAAAAATAGTTGTTAAAAATCAGTGGTTTTACTTAAAGGGCAGTGAGAGGCAAAATCGTGCCATGCCACCACACTGATGCAGCCCAGGATCCTGTGACTACAAAATCATTGCAGCTCCCCATGACTACTATGGTTGCCTCATGAAGTCAATTAGTAATATTTATTCTCTCTTGCTCTTCTGTACAAGGCTTTTTAAAACTATGAGCTAGTATAAATACTTAGATGTTGGTTTCAAAAGATCTAGACACATCAGAACAACTGAAAAATTCATTTCCTGTTGTTAATACAAAGAGCTTCTGACACTGCCAGAGGACCAAGCTAGCCTTTCTTCCAATGGCTTTGGAACAACTTAGTAACTATTTGTTTTTCCTCTCTCCTTTATGATTTTGTGCTTATACTGTGTTTTCTTGTTATCTGTAATGATCTAGGATATGGCGACACTATCCCAAGTTTCCACATTTTCCTGAGAAATTTATCTTCTAATAAACTGTTTCATTGGCCTTAGGATTCTGTTCACAACACATCACACTCTTTTTCAGCACTGCCAGTGAAAAGTATCCAGAAAAGTCTTGAGGAGATTTAGGGAGCTTCATGGTTTTTAAAAAATTCACCTTGTCAAGTGTTTCATCATTGTGATGAATGCACTGATTTCCATTTTGCTGCCCTCCATGCCCATCCAGGTCACCTCTGCTCTTTTTCTCTTGTGATTAAACTTGGAAAATAGGCAGTCATCTGTAGTCAAGGGTTGTTGTTGACAGGGAATGAAAAGATGCGACTAAGTCCTGAGTCTCTGTAGGCTAATAAAGCTGTACTCATACCAGCCTGATGCAACACTAATTTGCTTGTAAATGTCACAGGCAAATAAAAAGGCAAAGGCATCTTAGCAAAGATTATTGACAGACTTCAGATAGGTACCAGATTTCAAAAGCAAAAAGACAGGTGCCACTGTGATCTAAGGAAAACACATCAGTTACTTTCTTTTACTTTACACAGATGTTACTGTGGGTGTAATTAATAGTGGATGAATTTTCTTCATTTTTAACAGATATCAAGAACAGGGTTCTTGTTCTGTGCTAATTAATACTTTCCACAAGCATGACAGAATCTCGCGACTTTCATATCCAGAGGTTGTAGAGCAGCTTTTACCACCCTCTTCCTGAGCTGTATTGTACATTCCCCTGAGTAGGCAGTATCCCTGGTTGCAAAATTTTAACAGATCTATTTTACTTTCTCTGGTCCTACTTGTGGAGTAAATTAGTGTTAAAAATCACTGAGTTAAGATGGAAGGTTCTAGTCCTCTATGAAACTGCTATGTAAACCTATGAGGGATGCTGAGAACCTCCCCTCAACTTTAGTTAGTGATGCCCATAAAAGAGAGAAGCTTAACATTTGATTCTTTCCCTTTGTAAAATAAATTATAAAAAATCCTACTGATTTCAGTAATCCCAGGTCAAGCTAGACTGTAGTGGAGAGGTGAAGAGAAGGGAGATTATTCCTGGAATTTGGAGTCAGACTACCCCACTTCACCTCCATGTGCTTTTCATGTAGGGCATGGTCTCATTCTAACTGTTTTTAAAATGGTGGCCCCTTTTTTTCTTTCTTTGATCATTCTTAAGCCATGATTGTAATAACTTCTCAGAAAGTAGCAAGTGATTGCATGTGGCGGATATTTTATAGCTGCTTTATTCGACATGTCTACAACATATGGTCAGTCTGCTGAAGACAGTTACGAGTATCAGAGGGAATCTCTTGTCTGTTGCTAACATGGTCTAATAAATGTTCCTGTCAAAAGTATCAGCAATATCAGATACAGCAGGCAGCATGCAACCACTTCTGCACTGTGTTTCTACTGCATGATGCTCCTACAGTATGTGGGGTAAAATCGTGCACAACGGTGTGAAGCATTTGGAAGTCAACAAGACTGTATAGGATATGAAACGGTAGAAATATGATTTTTTCATCTTTGAACATGAATAGCATTTTTATATGTCACGCTTTATTGATATATTTTTATTGTATTTTTATATCCAGGTAATCCCAAGGTGAAGTCAGAAAATTAGGTTTCAAAATCCTTTTGTGCAATTAAATTCTGGCAGGTTTGTTTAGCTTTTGCATAGGAAGGAATGTTTTATATGTTTTTTTGTTTTGTGTTTAAAAGGACTGACCAGTGGTTCACAGAAATACAAATCCAATTGCACCTCAAGTTGTATGGAAACTCATTGGCTTCACTCATTGGTTAATGTAAGATAGTGCTAGATTTAATTTGATTTTTGAGAGAAAGGTTGTGCCCTTTCAGCAAGTAGCATTGAAGATTTCAAAAGGTATCTTTAGGTAAAAAAGAAATTTTTGGGGGGGAGAGTGAATGAACATAAAACTCTGTGGTCAGTTCTGTGTTGACTATGAGAACTGGGCATTCAAAGCAGGCATGCAATGATGCCCAAAAAAGTATCTTTAGAAGGCTTGAAAGTCAAATCTGCATCATGATCTCCGGGCATCACTGGATGATGTGCTTCTGTGCTTGAAAGCATTCAGCATGCTCATGGCAGTCCTGCGTAGATACTGTGCAGGTTAGTTGTGAGACAACTGTGTGTATCTGTGTGTGTGTGTGTGTGTTTTCAAGAAGTGCTGAAAAGAAGTGAGAGGCAGAGCACACTCTGTTACAGCTGCTCTCACAGCTTCTTCCATATATCCAGAAAGGAAAATTTAAAACTTTTAGGAAGATTTACCACCACTGTTCATAAGATGGCTGATTCTAACACTATGGAATATTACAAATTGTTAATTCTCTGAGACCAATGGACATAAGTGTTTATGAAGAAAGCAGTGAGAGGGGAAAAGAGAGAATGTTTAGTAATATGGGGACACGCTTTAGAAGGTTTTTTTTCCCTGTTTTTTTCTGACTGCAGATATATAGCAAAACGTGGAGGCTTGTCTCAGTATAAGCACCAAGGACTTTTTTCTCAAATGTTTGCTCCAGTTGGTCCTCAGAATTCTTTCAACAAGGCAGAACAAGAAACCTTTACAATTTAGAATGTGTCAGTCCTTTTCACCTGGGTAACTGAGAGCCTCAGTGACTGACAGTGGGAAGGAGGGAAATGTGTGAAGATGTGTGGACATTGTAAATACGGAACAAAAATGAAATAACATAGAAGTGAGTGTTTGTGGTTATTCTTAGTGCATTATTCTCATATTTATGACTTACTAACATAGACAGATAAAACCACATTAAAAACATGAGTCGTAAGTCAAAGGCTTGAAGCTGGTCCTCTGTACTGGATTGCCTTTTTGAATATGGTTGAAAATAATACCATAGCTGTTCCATCCATTGACATAAACATTTTGTGTACACACACGCACATGTGGACACACATATGTGAATGTATTATTAACTATGAAGTCATTACAGATCAACAAACCTTCTCATCAGCTGTCCTAAGTGTGCCTTGCAAAGATGATTAAATGTCACAGAGTGAGATTTTAACCTTTGCCTGTACTGGCTTTGTGTGTTGTAGTGAATGAAAAGAACCAGGTTATGTTCTCTGGTTTGGAGGCTAATTAAGACTGTGTGCCTTGCATCCATGGTTAAATTCTTTTATGCTTAATCTGAAAACAGTTAAATAGGGAAGATGAAGGACCAGTGCCTAAGCAATTGTCTTGGCACTGTTTTATTTTCTGATATTGGTGTACATAACATGAGGAAGGAGCATCCCTGAGAAAGAGAAGATCAGATGCAAATTTATAGGTCAGGAAGTTCTACTTTGCTCCAGGAGCCAAAATAGTCCAAATAGTTTATTCTAATTCGGACAGCCTTGCAGCTTCCTCAGAAGTTTCTGTCCTGAGGTCTCTGGTATTATCCAAGTAATCTATATTTCTGCTCTGCTACCTCTCCTGCTTGCTTTTCTCCAGTACAGCTTCTCCAGGTTTTTGAGGTAGATATACGCGTAACAACTTTGTAAGAAATAGCTTTCCCATAGCCACTGAAGAGCTTTCTGTGAAGGATTATAAAGTGCACCAACGGCGAAACGCCTTTTCAAGAGCAGACTGAAGACTCGCTGGAAATACTGAAAGGTAGGGAACATAAATCACAGAGCCAAAAGACAGAAAATCCGCAGAAAGAACTAACATCCCTTAACAAAGGGATTAGATCCTCAGCAACAATAACAGGAACTGAGCATCCAAATCCCTGACATTGCTGTGCAAATATCAGAGGATATACAAACCCCTAGGGAATGTGAGATGGCAGCTAAGCAAGACACTAGGGTATACCATTTCTCCCAATAAGACTGTAGCAGATTGTTTATCCTGAAGTGCGGCAGAAAGATTCCAATTCTTGAAATGTCTGACCTATACAGAAACTTCTATACTTCTAACTTTCTATATTTTCATCATGCAAAAATCACCAGTCCCAGATTTTTTAAAAGAGATGCTGTCATCTGGTTAGTGTCTTTGTATGCATTAAATTTAAACCTTACATGTATCATCATCATCATCATCATCATCATCATGGCTAGGCTTCGCGAACGAAGATTTGGGAAGGGCACTACCCATGCTTGTTACAAGAGCGTTGGTGACTAAAAAGGCCAATACAAGATAGACACGTCCAGTTGCAAAAGGCACAGCAGAAAGATTCCTTAGGAGATATATTCTGCAAGGCACGATTCTTTCCGCGTTGTCTTTTCTCCTCAAGAGTGATCCTGCGTGCTTTCTCAAAAGCATCAGCAGCGTTATAGATGGTGTGTCTCCAGACCTCCCGATTGGAGGCCAGAGTAGACCAGTTATGTTGATCAATATGGCCAAGGCTGAGATGTTGTTTCAGGGAGTCCTTGTATCTTTTCTTCAGGGCTCCTCTCTTGCGGCAGCCGGTGGCAAGTTCACCATAAAGCAAGA